TTTTTTATACATTAATTAAAAAAATATTAAATACTTTAGGTAAGTGAAAATATACTTAAAAGAAAAGTGTTTTTATGTTTTGGATGTGACAATATGGTATGTATATACTTATTTAGTATTATGTTTTTCATTTGATTATTTATTGGTTTACAATATATTTTCCTTAACGGGTAACGGGTCGGGTCATATTACCTATTAATATTATCAGGTTGATTTCAGGTCGGGTCATTTTACCCGTTTATTTTAACAGGTGTTACACGACACTACCCGTTAAAATATCGGGTATGACACGAACACGAAAAACAAGATACGAATGCTATGTCTACTCGGGTCTACGAAGAAATGAAGGCAGATCTGTGTTCAGATTTGCAAGTTTCAGAATATGGAGCTGCAATACGAAACCAGAGAGAACCGATGGATGCTTTCGGCTTGGACGGATTGGTTTGACAAAAAAAGGGAAGCTTTGGTTTTGATTGCGAGCGAGTAAGGTTTTTTCTGAAAGCAAGAGGAATGGAAGAAATTGCAAGAGAAAGTGGAGAGAGATGGGGTAAACGGCTTATGAGGAATGACAACAATGAGAAAAAAGAAGTTGATAACTCAGCTTATATACTAACTTGCTAGGGTTTCTTGTGAAATCCCGTTCTTGGATTTCACTATTATAATCTACGTATTTGTATTATTGAGATTTTATATTACTTTTCGGGAATTTATATTAATTTATTTGAATTTGGATTTTAAATTAAACTAATGACGAAGTTTAAAGTTTAGAAATTAATTATTTAAAATTCGTAGACCTTCCGAGGTTACAATTTAAAATTTTGGGTAGAACTCGACCCTAAGAGTGCGTAGGTGAAAACCGTTCGCGAATCGGAGCTGAAACGAAGAAATTAGAGACGTTTTAGTTGTTAAAAAGAATTAAAAAAAGTTGAGAAGCTACCAGATGGCAATGGGGAAGAGGAAGGAATGGAGAGTGCGAGAGAGAAAAGGAAGGGGAGATCCAATCAGAGGGAGGAACAAGGAGGGAAAAGAGAAAAGAAGAAGAGAGAGAAAAAAGAAAGAAAGGAAAATGGGTGTTCCTCTCAACCCGACGGAAACAAGGGTTTCCGACTCCTTTCTCGGCCAAATTCTAGCCAACTACATTGATTAAACACCTGAGAAATACCCCACAACCTTCCCTCTTCCATTTTCATCAAAAAACTGATATCAATTTGGTCATATTTTGCGAGAATTGAAGCTGAGGGCTTCGTGGGGTGAACGGCAGTGATCCGCCAATTCTGAAAGGTGTTCCGATGACTACCACCACCAAAATGTTTCTCTTGGACCCAGGAGCAAACCACAAACAAGTATGGGCGCGATGGAGTTGAGAATGTGACTAATCGAAGCACACAATTTCAAGGGTTTCTGACGGATCGAGGTTGTTTTGAGGTGTTTCCCGGCTGAATTGGACTTCGGCCCAGATATGAAAGTTGTTCCTCTCATTGAACTCTACTTTCCTGTAAAATTTGAAGATTTTTTTTAAAATAGTTGAATTTTTCGGCAAGTCGGGGCGGCCGACCGCCACCCACGGCGGCGCGTGGCCAGTGGGTCGATGATGTCTACCTAAGTTCAATTTGATGCCCTGATTCCATAATTGATATCTGTATGATGTACTTTGATTGTTTGAAGTTAGTTTCATTATGATACATTACTTGATCAAAATATGAATCATCAATCCGACCGTTGGATCGTTATCAAACCCTATAGAATATAATATTTGAGGATAACAGGAACTGACGGATCAGGAATCCAACGTACAGATCTTCACGAATTAGATTTCTAAGTTAGTAAAATTAATTGTTAACCACCACCTAATTCTAGCAATTGGTGGAGATCCAACTGTCGGATCGCGATGAGATTTTAGTATGTTGTTCTTTGAGCATAATGTGGACCTTAAGAAGTTACTGATCTAAATCGTGATGTGCGAATCTTTCAGATTAAATTGCTAGGGTGTAGACCCCACTGTTAACTTGTGGTCAACAGGTCTTGAACTATTTGAATTACTAAAATTAGTATTACTAGAGACTCAGTGAAGCTTTACGGATTTGTCTTCGGTGAGTGACTTTAATATATGTGATATTGTGATTACGCGATTCTTTATATTAATATCCTTTGTGGATATGACATGGTTTTATAAATGTGTTTTCTGTTAAAATGTGATTCTTTTATAATTGGCCATTGATCTATTTTTATTAAATGTGATTTGATTCATGGATTGGTAATATTTGTGAAAAAGTGATTCGAATTGCATATTGAAATGTTTTGTAATCAAGGGCTAGTAAGGGACTATAGCCCTGCTTGGTTAATCCGTATTGGGGGGTCACTATCTACCTGATTATCTTGACCCTGCTTGGTTAATCAGCATTGGGGGGTCACTAGTGGTTCTGCTTGGTTAATCCGCATTGGGTGACCATACTATATATGGATCGCTCTTGGTTAATCCGCGTTGGGCGATCTTTATGGCCATGTATGCTTAGGAGTGATCATACTTGGTTAATCCGTATTGGGTGATCACTTACTGACAACTGTAGGAGTGACTTTGCTTGGTTAATCCGCATTGGGGGGGTTACTGCCTACTTGGTTACTTTTTCAGGGGTGTCTCTGCTTGGTTAATCCATTTTGGGTGGCCACTTCCTGTTTGGTTACTTATGTAGGCTTTGGCCGAACTACGTCCCTCTAGCCTTAGTTTTTAGTGTACATATGAACGATGGTTTTTGAGAATCTTGGTGGTTTGAATGGGAAAAGTCGTTGGATGTCTAGGTGACTCCTTCGGAGTTGTTAGAGACTTGACTTTGTTTCCATACTTACTTATATTTGAGGTCTATAAACTGTGATCGATGACCTTTCTTTTTATTGAATATCACATACTTGTATTATTGTCACTCACCCGAGCTTTGTAGCTTAACCGAGTTCTGATTTGCCAGTGCACCATTCCCTTGATATAGACACTAATTTTACATATGTCAGGTATGGGTAGATTACAAGAAACCGTTTGGTATTTTGGTTCCATTGAGTGGTCCAGAATCCGATGTTGTTGGATTCTGTTGAGTGGTCCGGAATCCTTGCTTTCGCTCATTCCCATAAATTAGTCTAGAACCCTAGATTCGAGTGAATGAGAATTACTCACAATAGATCTTGTGAATACAAATTAGAATTATCATGTTTATTACTCATAATCCAAGTATGGAATTATATAGAGTTCCTTTGTTAAATTCGTGAAATGATATGTTATTGCATTGATTGATTAATGTAATTAAATGAGAAGATCGTGCATCTTTGATTCATGAATTGATTAATTGATGGGATTGTGGAACGACACTGGATATGATTATTATTAGTATGTTTGTTTTAGTTGATCGATGTGGCTAGAAAATAATATTGTGCTTTGTTGATTCTTTAATATGTTACATGCTATGTATTGTGATTTTATGTCACATCTCCGCCCGGGTTGGATCATTTCCCGAGGCCGCTCCACCACCGTAGCACGATATTGTCCGCTTGAGGCCCTGACCAAGCCCTCACGGTTTTGTTTCTGAGAACTCACGAGCAACTTCTCAATGGGTCACCCATCTTAGGATTGCTCTCACACGAACTTGCTTAACTTCAAAGTTCCGATGGAACCCGAAGCCATTGAGCTCCCAAAATGCCTCGTGCTAGGTAAAGATGGGAAGATACATATAAGGCTTCCAGGATCCACTCCCCTAGGCGATGTGGAATGTTACATTTTATGTGGAGAAACATGATAATTTATGCGATGGATGAAGTGGAAATATTAATGGTCGTGTGAGATTGTTATGTAACCCTGAACCTAGAAATTTCAAGCATGTCAAGTTCTATTAATTGATTGATGAGTGCTATGATTTTTCACTTAAAAGTACTGTGATAAAAGTTGAGGATAATATTTGGATGAACTACGAATGACTTGATCCCTATGTAGGGTACGTAGGCAATCTAACGAGGAGGTTAGATGCAGCCATAAAGTGTATGAAAAATTTCTACGTGGTTGGATCATGAGTTGTGTTTGCTCATATCCCGGAGGCGGGGTATGTTAGAGATACGAATACTTAGTGACGTCATGTGTCGATCCTAGACGTATGTCGGAATCGGCCTGTGACATTTCTCTCACACGGGAATCTCAATGAACAACAAATTGAAAAAATTTTGGCGTAAAAATAATAAAATAATCAATTTCTGTCTGTTATAACCGCTAGAATACTAAAATAATAACCATAAGAAACTAAAATAATAAAATAGTCAATTTATGTTGGTTATAACCGCCACCATTAACTTAAAAACCGTCAAAATCTGTTAAAAATATTTTTTTTAAAATAATTCAAAAATACTGGCGGTTATAATAATTTTATGGCTGTTGCATCCAACACTAAATATCCGTTAGGAATTTATGTCGGATATAACCGATAAGATTTCATTGTTATCCGACACTAACTGAATGATGTGTCGGATATCTTTTATCCACATAATGGCTTATTAAACCGCTACAATAATCCGATATCTAAAGATAATATTATAGTAGTTTTGTGGAACTGTTACTACTACTCCAAAAATCTTATCCTACATTCCTCAAAATTGTTTTTGTTTTTGTTTTTAAATTATAGAAAGTTTGGAGTGTAAACTAAGATTTTTGAAATCTAAATAACAATTTCATTTGTTGCAATAAAGAGGATGTTGCGATATGGGTAATGTTAGGATGACTAACTTTTTGTAAACTAAATGATATTAAAGTTAATGGTATGATTTAGTGACACATCACTTAATTTACAAAGTTAGTTTATAAATTTAGTCTACTTAGCATTATCCTTAGGTCCCTTACACGGTATGGACCGATTGATTTGAAGGTTCGTACCGATGTTGATTAGGTTGGTGATCCTAATAGTGGTCGAGTAACAACTGGCTTTGTTGTGTCCCTTGGCTCTAATCCAGTTATGATAAAAAGTTTTAGAGCTCATTTAAATGTGCTTTTTAGAAACGTATTTTCTCTCCTTCCAGTCATTTTAAAATCACAACAAAATCACCGATGGTGAGCTCCCTTTAACCGTCTTTACAATTGGACCGGCAAAGAAAAGACTCAGTGGCGGAAAAATGAAAGAAGACGCCGCACCAGCAGCAGCAGCAGCAGAGGACTCTTCCTTCACGTCATGCAAAGACGTTCCCAATCTCCTCTCCTCTTTCGTCGACACCTTCGTCGATTTCTCCGTCAGCGGCGGCCTCTTCCTCTTGCCCCAAACCCCCAATCATCCCCTTCCCGTCTCCCCTCAAAATCACCAAAATGCCCTCACTGCCTGCCACAGTTCCAACGATCCCCTGCCCTTGCGCCCACCACTCCAAACCTATTACCCCCCGCAGGACCGGTTGGTCGCGATCGGCGATCTCCACGGCGACCTGGAGAAGACCAAGGAATCGCTAAGGCTTGCTAAATTGGTTGACCCGGAGTCTGGTAAATGGGTCGGAGGGTCCACCACCGTGGTCCAGATTGGCGACGTGCTGGACCGGGGCGGCGACGAGATTAAAATCCTCTATTATCTCGAGAAATTGAAACGAGAAGCCGCCAGGTGTGGCGGCACGGTGATTACGATGCACGGCAACCACGAGATCATGAATGTGGAAGGAGATTTCAGGTATGTGACCCGCAAGGGTTTGGATGACTTCAGGGTTTGGGCTGACTGGTATTGCATTGGGAACCGAATGAAATCGCTCTGTAAAGGGTTGGAAAAGCCGAAGGATCCCTTTGATGGGGTGCCCTTAGGGTTTAAGAATGTGAAGGAAGAGTTTGCTCATGGGTTTAGGGCTAGAATTGCAGCATTGAGGCCATCGGGTCCAATTTCGTCGCGGTTCTTGTCCAACAATGTGGCTGTGTTGGTTGTGGGGGACTCTGTTTTCGTCCACGGCGGGCTTTTGGGTCAACACGTTTCATATGGTCTGGAGAAGATCAATGAGGAGTTGAGGGAGTGGATTCATGGGTTGAAGGGAAGAATCGCGCCTGAGTATTGTCGTGGTGCTAATTCTGTGGTTTGGCTGAGGAAGTTTTCACATGAATACGAGGATAAGTGTGATTGCTCAGCACTTGAACATGTTTTAGCTACCATTCCGGGCGCAAAGAGGATGATTATGGGTCATACAATTCAAGAGTTTGGGATTAATGGTGTTTGCAACGAGAGAGCAATTCGGATTGATGTAGGGATGTCGAAGGGGTGTTCAAATGGCTTGCCTGAAGTTTTGGAGATCAAAGGGAATTCCGGTTTGAGGATACTGACTTCAAATCCACTGTACGAGAACAAGAAAAAATCTACTGTGCGTAATGAGATACCTGCATTTTTGCCGCAAGGACCGAAACAAGTTGAAGTGAAGGCTTAACTGTTTGAGTATTTATCCTAAACCTGATTATTCCTATTTAAAACAGATATGAATTTGTATTCTGTTGAACTATTATTCAGCTGTCTCTGGCAGTGTAGATAATTAATTATCAATAGTTCAAGTTGGAAACTGAATCAGTACTGAAACTTTGGTATTTTTCAATTTGTTACTATAGCTGTTTTGTTTCTTCAATGTGAAACATTCGTACTATCCCTTTCATCGAAACTGTTCTCTAGCTGAAATGTGGAGATGTGTAAAAGTTTAGTTTTGTAGTGTTTTCCATGTTTCTACTGTTTGTTAAACTTTCTGGCGTTGCTTGTGCTTGCGTATTCTTCTTCGCTGTCATTTTATCTGACCTATAGGCTTTTTTTGATGTGTTGTTGATTAGTCGTATCCTGACTTCGTCATATCTGCTGGAGGATAAGGATTGTTTTCTTGATATGCTTCCATATTGATTCTGATCGTTATCTCTGTTTAAACATTAAACTTGAATGCTCTTTTCAGCTTGTTTTGTTCACAGTTTTTCCGTAATGATTGATTTCAAAATAGACGTTATCTTGAAATATGGTTGTGTTTGAGTTCAATCTAAGCAAGCTTCAGAGATGTTATCGTGAAATAGAAAGAATTTTTCAAGAGCATGCTGTATTGCACTTATCCTTGCAGTTCTTCAGCTGCCATTATCACTCTTAGCCTTCTTTGTTTGGAAAACTGCCTCTACCTCAAGCTCGCCTGCAAGCTCCTGCTCACCAGGTATTAGAAAATTATAAGAAAGTTATAGAACTAATGAATGCGATAGCACCTGGAGTTGAGTTTATTCAAATTTAGTGATGTCTGTTTAAGCTGAAACAGATATGAGTTTGGGATTTAACCCCAGATAGTGCTTAAAGTGTCGATTGGCAAAGATAGAATGCAGGACACGGACACGGAAAGTCTTGTAACTTTACCTTCATTAATTCCTGAGGCGACATTTGTTTAATGGATTGGATCGATATATTCAACCATTTAGTGGAGACTAGAGATGATCAATGAAGTTGATAACGAACCATTGATCATCCAATTTTCTTGCTTAGACCTCTAGATTGCATTTGGTAGCTCCGGTAAATCGGCATACGGTTTTCTTGTTTTCGAGTTGTGAACAGGTAATAAACAGAGTTTGTTTGAAGTTCTGCAAGTGTTGTATGGGGAAGGAACAGAGCACAGGCTGTATTCTATAACGTCAAAACAAATTCTAAGATCTTGATTCTTGACATAACCAATGTGATTAGTTCATGCTGAATTTTATTTAGGAGTAATACTTAGGACCCATTTGGTTCGCGAATTAAGGGATCGAAAATGAGTATGAAACACTTGCTTATTTACTTTTCATTACAAGCAGTGCCCGCCTAGCGCTACCTAGGCGGCTGACTACCGCCACAATAAACTTTGGGCGTTTAAGAAATGAAAGGCATGTGCTTAGACCCGTTTAAGAACCCGCCTAGGTCGTGATTCTTAGTTAAACAAAAAATAGACAGTTTTCTATTTTCCATTTATCTTTTAAATAAATTGAAAGAGACTTGTTAGATACTTGGATGAACACTAATTATATGCTTGAAAGTGAATTTGAAACAAATTACTATACTTAGTACTAGTGATATTTCTCTTCACTTGTAAGTGAAAATTTTTAGTTTCGATTCTCTCCAAACGCGAATTTTGAACCAATAATTATGGTTAGCCTATTATGAGATTTATTACACTTCCTAACTCCTAACTCCTTAATGATATTTTAATGTAAATAATATCGAAGACATTCAAAAATATTCTTGTGTATTAGTACAGAAACTCAAACTAGACATTGGAAAGAAAATAAAAGATGGTTCCTAGTTATCATTTCCCAGTTTCTAAACAAGGGGATGGAACGTATAGGAATATGCATGGGACCTCTTCCAACATGGAAAAATAATAATTAAATTTAATGCATCACTAACCTTTTTCCCTCGAAGCATCACTAGTTATGCTTTGGTTTGTAAACTTTGACATCCAAATGCCAAAATGGGACCAACTTGCAGTAAAGCCTTTTACTGAGATTATACGAACAAATGACTGAACCAAAATATATTTATTTTTATGGGATCATGTATCACAGGTTATGTTTAGAAAAAAAATTTAGACATCGTTTGGTTTGTAGGATTGATTGAAATAGATAACTCATATTATTCAAGTTCAAAGTGTGTTGAAGTAAAGAAATGAAAATTTTGTGTTCAACTTAAACATAAAAGATGGATTATTGATTAAGAAAATTTATACGTTTCCATCCTCCAACAAAATGGTAGGATCCGAAGGGGTTAGTTTCTCTTGCTTGGTCCTCTTTTAATCCCTACAAAATGAAAGGTATATCGAAGGTCAAGGTAAATATACCTTGTATATAGGTACAAAACCGCTATATGCAAGGGATAGGTCTCATTTTGAGGGGATAAAATAGGACCTGGATCCTACCAATTTGTAAGAGGATTGAAAGTATAAGTTTTCTTAATGAGTGATCATTGCATATAGTATTGAAGGTATAAATTTTCTTCTTATACTCTAGACCCTAAACCTTCAATATGCCTTAAATATAATGGGTTATGTATTGTAATTCAATCCCAAATATCAAATATGCCTTATTATATTATATTGTTCAGGGAGTTGATAAGCTAATATGTTGGGCTGAGGAATAAGTAATTCAAGGGAAGTAACTTACTTTGTAGTTGATAGCTAATTTTGGGATCTTGGTTCTTTCTAACCGTCTTGTGCGAGTTTAGAGGATAAGGCTATCGTTGTAGTCCGACAACCAAATCTTATGTGTAGTTAGACTTGCCTAATCCATTTTCATCATTTCATTAAAAAAAATTGTGTTAGGATATTTTTCTTCTTAGTGTTAGAAAGTAGAATATGTCCCAACTCTCAAGTTTAAATCAATCCTCTAGCGTTGATAAAAGAAAATGTTAGGTTGATAGTAGCATACCGGCCATGTTATATTTCAACAGAGTTGATCTGAAAAGGCCTCAAATTAGTCTCTCTCAGCATTAATTCCGGTTGACAAAATTGGAAAAGCAAAACAGCTAAATAGTACTGGTAACAGTTAGGGATGTAGAATCCCATTCAATAATAATAATAATCATTGAGCTGCAAAGCCGGTGAGTATGGAGAAATTTTTTTAAGTTCTCAGTATTTAAACGGATATTCTAAATGTTTTAAAATAAGTAGAGGGACACGGAAAAATATATTATTTTTTTAACTAGTATCATGACATGTTGAGTAACACTTGAATACTCACTGCTGGAACGTTGCATCATTCTACAGTCCTAACACCGTTTTCCAATATTAATGTCAAACCCTCAATTAATGAACAAGGCCTAAGCCTCCCAGGCAGCTCATCAAACATGCTATATATAACAAGGCCCGAGGAGCTGATAAAAAGCACCAAAACCAAACGATACGTTTGGATTAAGCACTTTTGCACTGTTAGTATATCCAGCGGTAGCATTAGAAAGGGCTTAATTCTCAATGCAGATTTCTGTTGCTTTCCAAGGGGCTCTTCTGGGTCTCTGGTTCTGCTTCTTTGCTGCAAGCTTCTGCTATACCAATGGAGAGACCATTGAGGTAGCTAGAGAACAAGCAGCAGCCAAAGCTTTTTCAGGTAATCTATATACATATATAGAGAGTTTCCTTTAAGAAAAACCAAGTATTTCAAAGAAACATTAAAATGACAAGAATTTAATTTAATGGTTAAATGGTTTTGTATTTGCATGGTTTTCAGCAACGTTAATTTTTTAGAGAAGACATAAATAGTAAATACTACATGGTTCAAAACATTTGGAATACATTGCTGAGTGAACCGCCAGTTAAATCTCCCTATACATGAGTAAATATATATAGCAAAAAACAATTTCAAAACTAATGTTAGTTCCCTTTTCCATTAGTCTAATGTGTGATTAAGTAGTAGTTTTTTAATAATCATTTTGATGTAGTCTTCGTTATTAGTTAATCATATATTTGTTTTTTTCCTCATACGTAATAATCTTATGCATGTCTCTGTGTCTATACTATGTCCATAATGAAGAGTTGCAAAAAGCAGAAGCCGCAGAAGTCAATGAAGAAGAGAAATTTAAAGTGCTTCCACACAAGCCATTCTTCAAGAAGCCACCTCTCCCTAAGATTCCCATTGTAAAGAAGCCATTTCCACCAGAGCCCTTTTTCAAGAAGCCATTGCCACCCCACATCCCAATCTACAAGAAGCCACTCCCGCCACCAGTTCCGGTCTTCAAGATTCCTCCCTTTAAGAAGCCTGATTATCCGCCGGTTCCGGTTGTGGAAGTAAAGCCATTTCTGAAGAAGCCATTTCTTCCTCCACTTCCAAAATTCAAGAAGCCAATTCTACCACCTATTCCTGTTTACAAGAAGCCACTTCCTCCACCAATTCCAGTTTACAAGAAGCCGTTTCCCCATCCTGTTTTCAAGAAGCCGATTCCAACATTCAAGAAGCCGCCATTTCCTCCACATCCATTCCTTGGGAAGCCATTTCCTTCTATTGTTCCCTAAAGCTAGATTAGCTCGTTTCCCCTTCCAAATAAGTGATGATTAGCGTAGAAAGGTATTTATGAGTATATAATAAAGTCCTACATGGATTGTAACTTTATTATCTTGAGATTTTGTGTTGTGTTATTGTACTTGTTTAGTTTTGCTGTTATGCAGCTACCTTGTAATACAAGCTTTGCATTTATAAAATAAAATCTGAATGAGATCAGCAGCACATTGATATTTCCTGAATTAATACGCATATGGTGACTTCAACCCTTATGAATGAGATAAGCAGCAAATTGATATTTCCTGAATTAATACTCATATGGTGAGTGGCAAAAGAAGCTAAGAACTTGCTCAATTTTTGCAAGCAAGCAAAGAACCTTTTTTTAATAATGAAATAAATCTGAACTACTAGTTCTTTTTGTGCGAGATTCAGAGAGACGGATCAGCAGCCCATGCTATCCTAAAACTTGCATCTTATCATGACATGTGTTAAATTTTCTTGCAAAAGACATCGGTACAAGTAGGAATGGAAAATTCTTGTAATATTTTTTATTAATTTTCCAATGTAGTGTTTTCCTACCCCTGAATAATTAGAATTCTGTCGCATGCTAAAATGTTTGGTGCACACGCTCAAGCGCATTTGAGTCACCTTGAGAACAAGGTTGCAAGCTTGAACGTCTAGTACAATGAACCGGAATAACCTAATTACTTATAAGCACATGCAAGGTTCATTCTTTCCTGATGTGTGCTTAATACCCGTAACCTATGACAAATTGGGTGGCGTAAAACATATGTAGCCGTTAGGCTTCACATGTAAGATGAACTGCTACCCATGTCTGCAATGCATGGGCTTGTTGCTGATTTTACGCATTTCCAGCTGTTCAATCCTTTTCAGCCATATGTTCATCACGATATTATTCCCCCTTGGTAGGACATTGTAGGGCCATGTTACATTTTTTAACTAAACTTGTCAAGATTGTCCCCCTTACATTATTATTTCACAACTTTTTTCTTGGACGATATTATTTCTCAACTTCTCAACTTCTCAACTTCTCAACTAAGTAGTCTATAATAGACAGTCATATGCTACTTTACATCCTCAACTGGTGGTAGACTGGTAGTCATACCACCGATTTTTCTCCCAGACAAGCACTTGCCCTTAACCAAACCTTTGGGAGCAACACTTTGAAATCTTAGAGTTATCAATGCAGTTTGCCAAAATAGAGTTAATTTCTTGATATATTAGATGATTATTTCTCATTACAAGATGAACATATATATAGGGAAAGAAAGAAGACATAGGACCTAATTTTGCCTAACTTGCCTAACTTGCCTAACTTACCTAACTTGCCTAATTTACATAAAGAAAGTTGACTAGCCTAACTTCACTAGCCATCCAATACTCATGGCTGCTTTTAGTTGACACTCCCCCTCAAGTTGGTGCGTAAATATCTCGAATGCCCAACTTGCTGAGTGAAAGATGGAAAATCCTACTTGACACTGCCTTTGTTAAAATATCTGCTAGCTGGTCATCACTCTTCACATAAGGCAAGTTAATGGTACCATCAACCAACCTTTCCTTGATAAAGTGCCTATCCACTTCAACATGTTTAGTACGATCATGTTGAACTGGATTATGAGCAATGCTAATGGCAGCTTTGTTATCACAATAAAGTTTTGATGGCTTTGCAGAATTAAAACCTAATTCTCTCAACAAAGTCCTGAGCCATAACAATTCTTGCACACCATGTGCCATACCTCTAAATTCAGCTTCGGCACTGGATCTAGCCACTACATGTTGCTTCTTACTGCGCCAAGTAACTAGATTTCCTCCAACAAATGTAAAGTATCCAGAAGTCGATCTGCGATCAGTTACTGACCCAGCCCAATCTGCATCAGTGTACCCTTCAACTTCTTGATGTTTGTGATTGGAAAACATCAAGCATTTTCCAGGGGCAGACTTCAAATACCTGAGAATGCGTTGTACAACATCCATGTGGGCTTCACTTGGCCTGTGCATAAATTGACTCACTACACTTACAGCATAGGCTATGTCAGGTCGTGTATGAGACAAATAAATCAACCTCCCAACTAATCTTTGGTACCTTTCCTTGTTAGCTGGAACTTGATCATGATAGTCTCCCAATCTATGGTTTTGCTCAATTGGTGTGTCTGCAGGTTTACAAGCTAACATCCCAGTCTCAGTTAATAAGTCTATAACATATTTCTTTTGAGAAAGAAAAATGCCATGCTTTGATCTTGCAACTTCAATACCCAAGAAATATTTCAAAGTACCCAAGTCCTTCATTTCAAATTCCTTGGCTAGATACTTTTGAAGTTTTTGAATTTCCTCGACATCATTACCTGTAACCACCATATCATCCACATAAACAATTAAGGCTGTAAGTTTACCTCTATCATGCTTAAGAAATAAGGTATGGTCAGCTTGAGTTTGCTTGAACCCATAACTTTTCATTGATTGAGCGAACCTGCCAAACCATGCCCTTGGTGATTGTTTCAATCCATACAAGGACTTTCTTAACCTGCATACTTTGCCAATATCGCAAACGGTAGTGAATCCTGGAGGAAGATCCATGTATACCTCTTCATCCAAGTCTCCATGTAAAAATGCATTTTTTACATCAAACTGTCGTAGAGGCCACCCTAGATTTGCTGCCAATGACATAAGAACCCTAATAGTGTTGATCTTTGCTACCGGAGCAAAAGTCTCCTGATAATCAATGCCATAGGTTTGAGTATAACCTTTGGCTACCAGTCTAGCCTTGTACCTCTCCACTGAACCATCAGCTTTATGCTTCACTGTGAACACCCATCTACACCCAACAGGTTTCTTGCCTTCAAGAAGTGCAACCAGTTCCCAAGTGGAGTTTTTTTCGAAGCGCTTCCATCTCTTCAATCATAGCCTTTTTCCATTTTGGATCTTTAAGAGCATCCTGTAACTTATTAGGAACTGAGACTGATGACAATTGGTTTGCAAAAGATATATAAGAGTCTGACAAGCGATGAGATGAAACAAAATTAGATATAGGATATTGAATACCCTTTGTAGAAGAATGACCATAACGAACAGGGGCTATCCCTCGATTTTCTCGAATAGGATAACGAGAACCCTGAGACTCACGATGTGGTTCATTTGAATCATTTGGACCATCACTTAATGAAATCTCATGATTGGACTCATCAAATATAGTAGGCTGAAGATAGGGAGAATGAGTGGTTACCTCAGGATAATTCGTACGAGTAGCAGCTGATTGGTCAGAGAGTTGGTCAATGTGGGGATCTGTCTGTGGGTGGTCTATCTCATCATCCCTTTTTTCTTTATCTCCCTTTTTTCTTGTCCTCTCATACACCTTCAATATTTTTTCACCTTGTGCCTCATCATTAGGCAAATTTGCACCATCACCGACATCAGACAAGTGTTCATCACCAATGTCAAGCGGCAACTTCTCTTCCTCCTTACTCCATATCTCCCCCTGAAGAGAAGTGGCCAAATCTTTTTTTGAAAAAAATGCCTCGTGTTCCCGAAAGGTAACATCCATAAAGACAAAAAATTTCCCAGTGGGAGGATAGTAACATCGATACCCTTTCTGAGTAGCAGAATAGACAATAAACACACATTTGATGGCTCTAGGATCCAACTTATCCCGATTTTGCATGGGGACGTGAACGTAGCAGACACAACCAAACACTTTTGGAGGAATATGAAGGAGTGAAGGAAGAGAATGATATTAGGAAAGGGTTTGGATAGGTGTTTGAAATTGGAGAACACGTGATGGCATGCGATTGATAAGAAAAACAGCTGTGTGAATGGCATCGCCCCAAAAACGTTTAGGAACGTGCATAGCAGAACATAAAGAGCGAGCCACATCCAAGAGATGACGATTTTTACGTTGCTATACCGTTCTGTTGAGGAGTATGTGGACAAGATGTTTGATGAATGATACCGTGTTGTTGAAAAAATGTTCCAAGTCCATAATTCAAATATTCTTTCCCATTATCAGATCGAACGACTTGAATTTTAACATGAAATTGGGTTTGAATCATTTGATGAAAGATTGGAAAAATAGACATAACCTCACTCTTATTTTTTAGTAAGTATACCCAAGAAACTCGAGTGCAGTCATCAATTAAAGAAACAAAGTATTTAGCACCAGTATAAGTAGGAATATGAAATGGTCCCCAAACATCAGAATGAATAAGAGAGAAAGGAACATTACTTTTATGGGAACTTAAAGGAAATGAGACACGATGATTTTTAAAAAGAATGCAAGTTTCACAATGGAAATCAGAAACTTTGACTTTAGAAAATAAAGAAGGGAATAGATATTGCAGGTACTGAAAGGAAGGGTGTCCCAATCTTTTGTGCCATAACCAAATTTTTTCAGAAGCTTCAAATTGTTTGGCCTCCACTTGACAACTGTAACTTGTCTTCTCACAATCTGGTGGTAAGTCCAAGTAGTATAGACCTCCCTCTCTACCATGACCAATCAATGTTTTCGTTCGAATATCCTGAAACCAACAATGGGTAGGAGAAAAGATGGCAAGACAGTTTAGTTGATTTGTAAGTTTACCAATGGTAAGCAAATTGTGAGAAAGTTTAGGAACATGTAAAACAGATGAGAGAGATAAGCCTGGTGTTAATGAGATGGAGCCTGCTCCAAGCACTGGAGTAGAAATACCATTAGCAACTTTAACGGTATTTAAAGGTGGAGTAGTGTGAGAAACAAACCATGTAGAGTTATTGGTCATGTGGTCAGAAGCCCCTGAATCAATGATCCAAGGTTTATTGGGAGGAACAATTGTAGTGTTCAAGGCAAAACCAAAGTTACCTGCATCGACTAAGGAAGTAGAAGCAGTAGTTGGAGAAACTAAGTGAGCAGATTGATCCACCCGAGGTATGGAAGGCGTTGGTGTCAGGTGTGCTTGTGATCCACCAATGCATTTCTTTTGATTTTCCTTCTTTTGAACCCACTAATCAGGATATCCATGCAGCTTGAAGCAAGTGTCTCTAGTATGCTTATCCTTGTCACAATAAGTACACTTCCTTGTATCAGTAGTTTTGGATCCACCTAATCGAGAATTGAAGACTCCACGGGGAAATCGAGACGGAGCAGCTACCATGGCGGATCCTTCCACTTGTGGGCCAACCAACATAATGGTTTGTCTACTTGCTTCAGCATTCACAAAAGCATAAGCAGCACGAACAGAAGGCATAGTTGTTT